TGAAGCACTTACTCCAGCTGCAGTCCATTCTTTGTGAATCTCCCCCACATTTTGGAATGGGTTTTATTTCACAATCCTCTCCAGCGTGCAGTTATCCTATTGCTTGTACACTTTTTCTACCACATCATTTCCTTCCCTTCGCCTCTTTATTAATATGTGCTTGGACACAGAGCTCTGTGAACAGCCAGCCTCTTTAGAAATGACCTTTTGTATCTTGCCCTCCTTGTGCAAGGTGTCAATGGTCGTCTTTTGGATAACTGTCAAGTCAGCAGTTGTCCCCATAATTGTGTATCCTACAGAACTAGACTGAGAGACCATTTAAAGGCCTTTGCAAGTGTTTTGAGTTAATCAGCTGATTAAACTGTGGCACCAGGTTTCTTCAATATTGAACCTTTTCACAATATTCTAATTTTCTGAGATACTGAATTTGGGGTTTTCATTAGTTGTCAGTTATAATCATCAACATTAAAATAAATAAACATTTGAAATATATCAGTCTGTGTGTAATGAATGGATATAATATACATGTTTCACTTTTTGAATGGAATTACTGAAATAAATCATCTTTTTCATGATGTTCTAATTTTATAACCAGCACCTGTACACTAAAGGTCCCTAAAGAGTTATTTAGTCTTTATTGACTTATTGAACTGTTTAAACCCCTTGAACCTATCTGGACTACTGCCCTGGTTTTGGTATCTCGTGAACTCTGAGATTAATATCAGCATTAGGATTAACTCTGGATAATTTGGGAGATCTGTTCATCTATCTATTGAAAGATTTTGTGTTTAGTGAAATAATGAACTTGTTCATACACTGATGACAGAGTTACTTTTTTTTGGTATATACAGTATTGTAAATAACTTCTCAACTTTAATACATATCACATTATGCACAGTTTTCCTGTTTCCTGTGTGCTCTTAAATGCAACCATAACCCTTCCTGAGCCAAACCTTAGAATCTTCTGACAACTAGCCTACTACTACTGTTGAGTGTTCACCACTTTCCTTTATCTTATCGTTAGCATCTGCATCATATATGCTACAAAGACATTTTCCTTCCCATCCTGGGAGCTTCCACAACTCAAAACTGGAGAATGTGGGGTTCCAAGTTTTAAACTGCTTGAGATGCTCTGTTGTGCAGCTAAATTCATCTGCAGAATGAGCTCACTCCCAAAGGAGAGTCCCTGAGGTCTTTATTTCCCTGGCACACAAAGAAGAGGTTTTGGTCACATGTATGAAGGTGTGAATTAGAGTGAAACTGACTGGGTATCAGGCTTAATGCTGAAATGCTGGTTTTAAAGATTTTTCCTTAAAAAAGGTTTTGTTAAATGACAACTCAGACCACTCTGTCTTTATGCTTCCTCTGGTCGTTCAAATATCACAGATAAAACCGGCCTCATCCCACACAGACCTGAGCTTTCAGAAATGAAGCAAACATCATGGAACCAAAAGAGGCGTGGTGCAGACCTCAGCTGTGTTGATGTGGAGTACAACACATGACATGGGACTGATGTCTAGGTCTCAGACTGAGGGGTTTTGTGAAATAACTTGAAAAAAAACTGAACTTTGACACAACCTCTGTTTAAAGTAGGTCTTTCTTGTTTCAAGTGAATGCCTTACTTCACCCTGCTCTCAACCACCTGTCTTCTCTGCCAAAATATAATATTTAGGTCCTGCAATGAGCCATTCATCTGTGGAGAGGTTGTTTAACTTCTCCAGTGGAGTGGTCTCAATATTCCTCGCTGCACTGAACTGCATTCACTCAACCTTTATTTATACCGATTAGTCCCATTGAGCCTCTGGGACTTATTTACAAGAGAGAGCTGTGTACAGTTTGTGTTTGGGGGTTCTGTCCTTACGATGGACCAGCCTTGGTCTGACAGTCCTTTTAGGTTCAAAATTTCAGCTTTAGCGCTGCCTAATATTTCAACTTACCATGAGATCGTAGAAATAAAGGTGAGATTCTTTAGGCCTCTTTATGTTTTGATTTTGATCACATTTTCATAGCTGTGATGTGCTAAAACAATCAAACAAAATCTTGAGCACAGAATCTCTCTGACATAAAAAAAAATACTGCAGCCTCAAACAGTTTTTATTCAAACAAGTATTTGAAACCAAATGAATGAAACAAGTCAAAATGCTGACTGTGTGAGCAGATTCTGTAGTGATGGACTGTCTGGTAAGATTGCTCTGCCCCCACACTCTCCCACCCCCACTTCAAGCCGAGCTTCAGGCTTCATCGCTTGCTGCAGATAAGAAACAACTAGCGTGGCCTACTAGTAAAGAAGGGAGTTCAGATTAAAAACTTTATTGGGGAAAAAAAAGGTAAAATTTATTCATTTTATAAAATGGATTTAATTTTTCATGCTTGCTCTCGACGAAGGCGGAGTCTTTTCCCTTCCGCTCCTGCTTCCCTCCTGCTTTGCTCTATGTCCTGTGAGCCCTATCCAAGCCTCTCTTAACGTATCATCTGAACTGTAAATTATGGATCTGGTCTCTCAACGCAACTGATAACATTTTCTCGATGAGAAGGCAGGGCAAAGGAGAACACTCTTGCCCTGATGGGACACTTGCAGCTGGATACACTATGGATTCCTGGAGGCAGTGGAAAATCGTGTGTCTGTCTGTATTGTCCATGGAGGATGGAGAATGCACGTACATAATTGGATTTATGATAACAGGATTTCTGCTTTTTGGAGTTGGCGGTTACCTGGCATATTGACAAATGCGGAAAACATTGTTAGATGTTCTGGCCATTGTAAGGCTGCCTGGCTTGTATGAAGGAATGTGCCGTGCTGTGAGCACTCAGACACTGCATGAGCTGAGCTGTAAGCTGGACGCAATTTCTGAGAATCGCAGACCTCTTGCTGCTCCTGAAACTTGCTGGCAGGAAGGAATCAACCTTGTAGAAGCTACAAGCTCGGCCCAGCGGTGCTGACCACAAAATTTGGCTGTTTGGAGTCGCCATTGAGACGTACCAGTAGAACTATGAAGGCAGAAAGAAATCGAGTAGTCGGCCTGATCCAAAATAATTATCTGAATCTGGCTCCCCAATGGCCTTGAATTGACCATCTAACTCAAGCTCTCCTGGACAATATGTGAACGAGAAGCTCTGCCCCCCCACCCGCTCCCTTCTTGAGGACATCTGTGGGCCTGTGTCAGAGCCAGCTGACAGACACTGCACCATCTTATCAGGACTATGGAACTGTCTGGCAGTGTCAATGGACAACTCACTGCCTTCGTCTGCCTCCTCATGCATAACTGTATTATGATGTCATCAGTATGTTGCTGTTTCTATGCTGAGGTGTTTTTTTTTTTCCCAACTCTCACGCTGTGTCTCGTCTAGGACACAGTTCAAAAAAAAATTTTAATACCTCCCCTCGTGTTTCTTATGTAAACAAAAAGGGCAGCACCTCTCGAAGGCTGCGGCCTCAGAAACCTCCGTCTCCTTGTCTGTTTGTTTATGTTTTCTCAGACAAGCTGTACTGAAATGTAATTTTCTTGTGCTTTGGTGCAATGACAATAAAGCTGATTCTGATTGATTTAAATGTGGACCAATGAAGTGCCAAGCTTTAAACAGTTTTGTTTTTCCATTTTCTCCTGCTTTTGTCCTTCACTTTTAGTGTCAATCCAGCTTCCGTGATTCATTTGTGGCTGCAGCAGCTTTTGTGACTGTAAACAGCTGTCACACAGTTTGCAGTTTAGTGTTGTGGTGTTACATAGTGACAGCTTCTTCTTCAGCCAGCAAGCCTCACGCTGTATGTATAGTGAGAACAAGTGCAGTGAACTGTGCCAGCCTCGCTGCTTCAGTGTGACGGAAGCTTGCCGGAGACTTGCTAACGTCCTGCAACACTGAAACTCATCAGACCTCAGGTCTGATCAGGGTCACCCTTTGGAGTGACTGACATTGCGAACTAAATTAATGTCTTATTTTTATTTTATTTGTTTGCCTAAATTTATAAAAAAATAACTAGTCAAGTAAACTTTATTTAGAAAGCACATTTAAAACAGCATACATACATACATGCATGCATAAAATACAAAACCAATTCTGATGAAGTTTTGACCTTGTGTAACAAAAATACATAAAACAAAACCAAAATAAAATTGTTTGAAAATGAAAAACCAAAAAACGTATTGAAATGTTACAGAGAAATCAAATGTTTGAACAAAATGAATGTTTTTTGTTTTGTTAAAGTAATTGCAGCACCACATCCGGTCCATGTTTTTGACCAACAACGTGGGGCTGAGACGGTGTAGCGATAGGGCAGCGGACTTGAGACCAGAAAGTCCCAGTTTCGATCCCCAGCCATTCCCACAAGTCGTGGTGTCTCTGAGCAAGACACCCAATCCCTAATTGCTCTCCAAGTGTTCAACAGCTGCCCACTGTTCCACCTGGGTGTGTCCCAGGTGTGATGTATTAAATGCAGAGAACTAATTTTGTCATTGTATGGGAGCATGCATTGATGACAACGTATTGCACTTATACTTACATACCGTCTTCTTTAATAACAGTCTGTAGGTGTGTAGGATCTGAAGGGGTTTGTTGGAGCTTTTGGACGAGAATGATGCCCTATTCTTGTCTGATGGAGGGTTCTTGCTGTTCAACAGTCCTGGCGTTAGTTTTTAATTTGATTTTCCGATGCACCAAATGATTTGGTGAGCGGCCTAGTTCAGCAGCCGAACACTTCTAGAAATCCATGCAGTTGTAACAGATGCTGTCTGCGTATGTAGGTGTAGATTAGTATTCATCCAGTAAAAAGCAAATCTAAATAAATACATAAAAAGAAAGCAACAAAAATTCACATGCAGACTGACTCGAAGTAAAAACAAATTATAGCCACAACAACTTTTAAACTTTTTGTTCAAATGGTTGATAAATGATGAGAGCATTAAACACCCAAGTTGTCCAAAAGTAGAACCGAGTAAAAACATGGATGCAACAGAACGAACTTCCTTCTTTGTTGTTAAACTGAAGTTGTATTTCTTATTTTGCAGAGTTTCTTCAATGGCTGGGACGTCACAAAAAAGAAAGATAAGACCAAAGGAAGACACGACAACTTGCTCAGCCGTGAGTATTCATTCGTGTCTGAATAGCAGCACCAATAATTTCTTTTAGCTAATTTTACCCACATCAGTTCTAGCCTTAATGTTACAACACACTCGGCTTTAGTCATTTATATACATTCACTTTACAGTTTTTCACAAATTACATACATTAGTCACTTTTACAACCAGTAGAATACCAGTTAGGGATGTGTACAAATGTAATGTGTTATTAAAGGTTGAGTAATTGGCATTGATGGTTGAATTAATTAAAATTGATCATTTTTACTGCCGTTTCTGTTATGCTGTTGTGTTTTTTAATTCTCTTCAATATGTTTAATGTGTTTATGAGCTTGTCATTGATTTGCAAAATGTACACCAAAGTGGATCATTCTTAACTAAAGCCAAAATCTCACTGGGCTGTGACTCAAATGAGACTCAACAGTACAAGAAAATATACAAAGGTTTGATTGAGGTTTCACTGAACTCCTGAAGTTTGCAATCACCTCACCAGTGAGCTGTACAGCTGTGTTTTGCGTGACTGTTTTGTTTTTTAATTCATGACCTGTTTGCGCAGTTTACAAAACTGTATTAAAGGGTGTGCATATTATATATTGCCTACCTCCACACACATCATAACCACAAAATGCCGCTCCACATTTCCATTCTTCAGAATAGTAATGGTAGACTGGTAGATGAGCCAAACTCATTTCTAATATGAGATTGTGGGAAAAAAAAGTCCTCCTCCCATTCCGTATGGAAATTGTATGTTATTTGCTTCTTTAACCAGCTCTCCTATTCATTTTATACCCTTTGTTGAGTTCAGAAGAAATAAATTGGAGGCTAATAGGCAACTAGAGTTTTTGGCATGGTTGTATGTGCATACATGGTGATCCATGTGTCAGAAAAAGTCAGATGTCAGACTGGCTGATCTGTATGTCAATTAAGAGACATATTAAGTAAGGATAGGCTGATATCTATTTTTTAACGCCTTGCGATCCATCCATATTATCATTGCGATCGACCAGTAGATTGCGATCGACCAGTAGATTGTGATGGACCAGTAGATTGCGATGGACCAGTAGATTGCGATGGACCAGT